GTTAGTTAGACTAAACTTGGTTTGAATCCCCCCCCCGCCCCGCCCTGAGCTCTGGTTCATTTAAATAATTGCTACTTGTTGGTAGCGTGGCAGTCTAGAAACTAGTTTTCATGCCAAAGTCGCACGTGCTTTCCCTGCCCGGTGTGAGCCGTCCCTTTTGCAACGCCTCTCAGGGAGGACGGTGAAATGGTGTTCCCCTGCGGCAGTGTCCCGTTGCGTGCAGCGCACTGGGCGGCTGCTGAGGAGCTTCTGCTGCTCCGTGAGTTTGTTCCTTCTAGCCCTGGACCTTCTGGGGCTCTTCTCTTCACCTCCCAGCCTTTGGAAGTAGATCTGAATGCCTCCCCAACTGAGCCTTATCTGTGTGGGAGTTACACGTTGAAAAGCTCCCTTTTCCCCTTTTGGTGTGTTTCTGCAGTTGAAGCCGCTTGGCGCTTGGTGGCAGTTTACGGGTCAAGGTTATTGGCCTGTGAAGTCAAAAGTTACAGAGAGCTCGCGCTTGCAAATCCATACCCTCTGTTTGGAATGGCTGTATCCTAAGAGCTAATATTACTGATTTCTTGAGCGATATTACACGTTTATATTAGAAAAAGCTTCCTGTTGAACCACGACAGGGAAACGGAGGGAAATTCCGGCCGCGGCGTCCGGGAGGATTTCCGTCCCGCTGGTGATCTGGGACGCGTTTCCAGTGTTCCCGTGCCGATTGCCAGCGCCAGCCACCGCACGGCCAGTCCCTGCGCTTGCTGCGGAGTGCCCAGCGCTGCGTGCGTGCGTGCATGCATGCATGCACACATGCGTGCGTACGTGCATGACGCTGCAGGGCTCGGGGTGGCGGTGCACGCCGGGTTGTGCCCACGCGCAGGGGCACCGTTCGGCCCCCGGCCCTGACTGAGGAGTCGTCGGATGCATTGGGTTGTCCACCTCCCCACCCCCCACCGAGGGAGGCTTTGCAGCGCTTGTGGGCTCTGCTAATGCAGACTAGGCTTTACGAAAGAAACGAGGAGGTCTGGCTGCTCCCAGCCCGGCTGCTGTGTGCAGGGTGCGTGCACGTCGCTTGCTCAGGTGCTGGCAAGGTCGTTCCCTGCTTTGGCCGTGCCTTCGCCCTGGCGGTGCTCTGTGCACTGTGGAGATCCCCTCGAAAGCATGCATTTCCAGCAAGGGTGCTTGCAGATTGCAGGAGATGTCAAGCCCTCGTCAGCAGGTGCCACATGTCGATGGAGGGGTGCAGCAGAGCCCTGCAAGCGGGTGATTTGCAAGCAGCCGTGGGGAGAGCCGTGGCTCCTGGCTTCAGGCAAGTACGGCTTGCCCAGGAGCAGCTGTGCCTGCTGAAGGCAGCCTCCGCATGGCCTCCTTGGAAGCAGGTGTATATGGCACCAGCATTTTGCAGGCTTCTTTAGATCTGTTTGGACATAAAAAGAAGCCAGTTTTCACATAGCTTTATATCCTCCTGTACCCACTGGTTGGATCGTGACGTCAACGCTGTAGACGCTACTGAGAGGAGACAACAGGCTTGCACCCGAGGCGTTTCTTTCTGCCG